GGCGCAGGAGGAAAGTGCAGGAAAAGAGAGGAAAAAGAGGGTGGAGTTAGAGGCAGGAACAGGGGAAGTAAAAAGGAAAAAAAGAGTCAGTTGCTGCCCGGTTGGGAATGGGTGTGGAGGGAGGATGCCTGGACGGGATTATGGGAGAGGCTAAGAGTGCCTAAAGATGAGGCGGATTACAGAAGGAGAAAGGAGATTCCACCCAGACCCTCTTATTGGGGAGAAGTCGAGGCTAGAGAGTGGAGGAGGTTAAGAGAAGAGAAATAGTAGAGAGATAAAGGAGAGAGAGGCTAGAATGGACAATAAGAGAGATGAGGAAGAACCCTGTGAGGATCAAGACTCCGAGAGACGAACCCTGTGGAATGGTGATTGGGAGGACAAGATTGTGCCCTTGCTGGAAGGTTCGACAGGGCAGACCATGAAAGACTGGGTCCCTGCTGATTTACCGGGACCACGGAACAACAGTTATGGCAACCTGTTCCTGTTTGAAGATTGGAAACTTCTTCTGGACCTCTTGGCAGAAGGAGATAAGACTCATAATCATATTACATACACTTGTTTATTGTTAAATGCACCAATAAATCTTTCACCTGTTTTGAAGCAACAAAAATATACTGATTTCTTTGAAACGAAAGAGGAGCCAAAAGTTTTTTGACGTTTGCTTTTTAAAAAAAAACTAAGAGAGTCCAGAGAGATTTGTGTACAAGATCTGACTCAAAATTTGAAATCTATTCACAGTGCATCTCTCCGTTTCTGTAGTGCACTGAACCTACACCTTTGGAGTTATTTATTTATTTACTTATTTCAATCCTGCCTCTCTCCCAAATAAATCAATGTATTACTTTTCTTAATTAAATAATATAATGAAAACAGAGAAAAATAAACTATTAAAGCAGAATTAATGTAACAGCCCAATTACCAACAACTGAAAATCCCTAAGGAAAAGTACAGCATCCAGCTGACAACAAGCTGTGTCCTCAGCAGCCAATGAATTGCGTAAAGACTGCCTGAGCAAAGAAGTGTTGACTTGCTAATTGAAAGGACAACAGGGAGAAAGGACAACAGTCTAGCCTCCTATTCATAATAAATCCCAGAGCCTGAGAATGACCAGTAAGAAACAAAAAATACTTTCCCATCCCCAAGTAACATGGGTCCCAAGAGAAAAGGCTCCCAGTACTATACAGTTATAGGTCCTGCCAAAAATAGTTCAGGAAAAGTATATAATGGATACTGCAGCATAGCTGAACAAACATCCACTCTCCAGACAAAGATGGTTCCCTGAAGCATAGCAGTTGCTTTCATGGCACGTTGCGCACAGGACTTTGATGACTGAAAATAAACCACGAATAGCCCAACTGTTAGCTGAACAACAAAGAGCACAGCTGAAGTATTGCATTGAAGACATAGCGGCTTCAGAGGTCAAATATAAGTGGTTTTGCATTTGATTTGATAACGTAATTTCAGATTGAACATGTTCATTTTACTAGTATGAACCATTTAGGGGAAAACATTATTATCCACTTTGGAGTCGTTGATTTATTTGCTCTATGAAATCTTCCAAATAAAGGTAGGTATATAGGCTTGTCCTTATACCTGTATTTCATCACGTTCTTTTTTATCCGGAATGGCTCTAGCTGCTTGTGCATATTTCTCAAAAACTTTGCGTTCTTTTTGCAGTTTTCTCATTTCTTCTTTTCTAATTTCTTCTATTTGAGCTAGTTCTTTTGTTTTCTGTTGTTCAAAATCAGCCATTTCTTTTCTGAAATAGTTCAACACAGTATGATTAATACCCAAAGCAATAAATATTTGCAAAAAAGAATCTTTTTTTACTTCTGCTCCTTTTAATTAGCCTTATTGAACACTTTATACTCTGCAAGGCAGAATATAAAAAAGGCAGAATATTAAAAAATTAAGTAAAACTAAAATAATTAGAAATAACCTTAGGACAATCGTCTTGTAACAAACTTCTGTTGTTTAATTCAAGATTTACTCATACCACCAAAAACAATATGTTTGCTTATTTACTTAGTCTTTAATTAAATTTATATCCTGCCTTTATAAATTTAGCTCAAGGTAGCATAGTTTCACTTTTTATCCATTTTGTCCTGTGATCAATTTTACAAAAATATCTAACTTTGCCACTGCTTTTCTTGGGTACCACTGTTTTACCTACTATATTTAAAATATTATTGCTTTTATAATAATCATAAGTCCATCTTCAGATACTGTACATGAATGGCACAGATTCACTGTAGGTTCCATAAACTTCACACCAGAACATAAAGAAGTTAGAAAGAAAGACTGAAAAATGTTACCTGAGACTTGCCAAAGCATTTTCATGTTCTTCTCGAAGTTTTGTAAGGGATGCATTTTCCGACCTAAATCTTTCGATTTCTGTTTCCAGTTCAACAAGTTTTTCTCTCAGGAGTTGGGATCGAGATGAATCTCCTAACATGGGGCAGATGCATTTCATTTGATGCTGAAACATGTTGCATGCACCATACATACCTATCAGCACCATGCTAGTTATGCACCCTCTCATTAGCGCTTAGACCAGATATATAACCAAGGTAGAAGAAGATGAGCCCGTGAGTCACCATGAAACTGGATTTAAGTATGTAGAATTCAACCAAAGAATCCTAGCGTGAAGTTTAGAAAACAAACTCAAATTGTAGCTATCACACAAATGGGTCATTGGAGCCAATGAACTGTTACTTCAGGACTGGCAATTTCTTAAGAATCTGAAGACACAGTATGTACTGTGTTTCCCTGAAAATAAGACAGGGTCTTATATTAATTTTTGCTCCAAAAACGCATTAGGGCTTATTTTGAGGAGATGTTTTATTTTTGTCATGTACAACCATCTACATTTATTCAAATACAGTCATGTTATCTTCTGGTTGCTGCACAATGGTGGAGGGCAGGGTTCGACTTAACTGGGGCTTATTTTTGGAGTAGGACTTATATTATGAGCATCCTGAAAAATCATACTAGGGCTTATTTTCAGGTTAGGTCTTATTTTAAGGGAAACAGGGTACATGTAAGAGTAACACGCGATCTATTGTGCATTTGAAACAGGATCCAAACATGTAAGAGTAACACACAATCTATTGTGCATTTGAAACAGGATCCAAAAATGTTATTTTTCAATTATAATGGAAACAAAATGATGTACAAAACAACAATGTTTGAGAGGGGGAGAGAGAAAGATGGGTAAAACTACTCCTTAAACATCTCACATACTTTGAAAATCCTGTTAGGTTTGCCCTAAGTCAGGTGTGACCTCACAGCACACATAACAGCCCCTTCAGTTTGGCCACTAGAGGGAAAGAGGAGGCTTTTAGGAAAACAAACCCTTTTTTAAAAGAAATATATTTTCTGGGGGCAACACATCCCTCCAGTGTCCAGCCTTCCAGGGCATATGTAACCCCAAACCTCTCAAAGTTCCCCACGCTGTCTTGCAAAGGGATCAGTTGCCTATCTGGACTATAAAGTTCCGGTCAGTACGTTGAACTTTAAATCTAACAGTAGACATGTACCTGCATGGTACCATCTACTGTTCAGACCATCTACTTTGAAGCACCAGCACATGACGGACAAAGAACAAGAACGGGCATGCAAAGTGTGACCCTTGTTTGTTGTCAACCTCCATAGGTTGGAGGAATTACTTCTGCAACAGATTTTTCTACTCACAGAGAAGACATCAATGAAATGCACACCCAATTTTCCCGGGCCCAAAGGACTCACCGAAGACTGCCACTGCCTAAGTAGGAGAGGCTCCCCATTTCAGAAATTACCCCTTCAATTTATAGAAGGCAAGAACAGGGAGTGTCAGTGTCATTTTCCTACCACAAAGACAGCCAATACAGTATAAGACACAGCAACCTGTGCTGTATTAAATCAGACTGTGTATCCATCTAGCTCAGCAAGTTCTGAGTGGAAGCAGAAGGCTGTCCCATCATCACCAGCTGCAGCTTTTTTAACTGAAAATGTCAGGGATTGAACCAGGAACCCTCTGAATACAAGTCATGTGCTCTACCCATTGAAATAGGGAGCATCTGATACAACATCAACAGCCGACTATAAACAATACTCAAGGGGCAGTACTTCACAATGTTGCATAGGATTCTCTACGCATTTCTGAGAATGGGTACTGCGGCATTATTGAAAGAACAGAAAGGCTTTGGAGACAACAGCAGCAAAGTATGAAGCTGATACTTTCTGCATAGCATTGATTTCTCCCTCTTGCTTACCTTCTGATTCTTCCTGAGCCACGTTGGGCTTGGCATCATGCTTTGGTTGTACGTCCATCTTCTGTTTGGGCCTCAAAGAAGGGAAGAGCTTCAGCATCAGATCTGTTGTGGGGGGTGCCGTGATCTCACTGTCAGTCACACTTTGCTTTGGCAGCACCTCTTCTTTCTTCACCATGGCAATCTTCCTCTTTATCACTTTGTCTGGCACGACTGCCTCACTCTCCACAGAGCCATTAGGGGGCAAAGGCGCTTGAGTAATGCCGTCACTGTACACTATTTGGGCACACTGACTCCCATTCTCTTCAAAGTCAGACCATGGTGTTTCATCATCAAATTCGACAGAATTTGGATAATACATGGACTCAGATGTAGCAGCTTTGTTTATCTCATTTTCTTGGTCAAGAGATGAATCTTCTCCAAGTGAATCAGGAATGGCATCTTGATTTGGCCCTTGAGCTTGTTTTCCTTGCCTAGAAAATAAAGGATTGTCAGCTATAGTTGTCAAAGAAGGCTTTTCAGTTCTATCATTCACAAGTTTTACGGTAGTCTCCAATTCCTCTTCAAACTCTGAGGTCACCTCACTACTTTCATCAGATGTATCATCATCCCATCCAGCACTTTTAAATGTCTGGAACTCAGCAGTAGGAAAGGCCTGAACCCTTCTACCATCAGATTCATTTTTATGATCCTTCAGCATTTCCAATGCTTGGGAACCAGTAACTAAGCCTCTGGTCTTGACATTGCTGGCTTCTTGGGAAATATCCTGTACTTGGTTTTCGCTGTCCACAGCTGTAATGTCCAGCATGCACATCTGCTCCTGCCTATATTTGACAGGAGTGGAAGACAGTCTATGACCGGTGGAAATTTGCTGGCCTTGATCCAAGAGCCGTAGTACAAGTGAAGAATTGCTAGCAAAAGAGATTTCATCTGCAGCCTGTTCTAGAAATAAAAATTCATCCAATTCATTTTTTTCTATTTCCTTTTCTGTTTCCCAGTTCTCCAACTTCTTCTGGAAAGAAAGCTCAAGAGAGAGATCTGGGTCATTTTGAAAGGAATTTGTAAGACACCTGGTTCGTTCACTTGGCTGTGCAGTTTTTTCTCCTGATAGCTTGGTATCTTTTTCTTCAAACTTTGCAAGTGCCACTATGTTTTCTTTATTCATTTCTCTTTCACCATTTATTTCTGATCTGACAGAATTCCTCAGTTCTCCAGGCTTCTTTTCATTAGAGCTTTGTCTTGTAGATGTAGAGATCCCTTTTCTGAGAGAACTCCTCAGCACTGTTGTTTTTCGAGCAGAAAAACCCTTCTTTGTTTTATTATTCTGATTATTATTTTTACATATAACGTTATCAGAAACTTGTTCTTTATTTAAAGGGGCAGTTTTCCGATGAAGCTGGAGCTTATCTACTTTAACTGTGTTTCTGACTTCTGATGTATCCACATGAACAGCTGCTTCGTTCTCTTTTTGTTTATTTACCTTATGTTTGGCATTAATATACCGATTTAAGCCTTCACCTCGTTTCAAAAAGGGTCGTTTTGCCACTGGTTTCTGGCAGGCTGCTATTCCAACATCCTAAAGTTAAAAGAAACAAGCATTAAATTTCTGGTATTCATATATGTAAGCTTTACTTTCCTTACCCGGGTAGGTGGGGCTCGTCAGCCATGGAAGACAGCCCATCTAGGAGAAGGAAAACTCCGATTTCAAACCTCCACTGCCTTGTGGCTATATCCACTCATGGAAAAGGCTTCAGGAGTTAACCTCGAAGCAAAATCCGGAGCTGGAGTCCCGAAGGCAGCATGTGTCGTTCTGCCAACTCCTGCGACAGTGCTGGAACCAGTTGTATTGGCTCTTGCCTTTCCATTGGACCATTTCAGCAATGTGGAGAGGGGGGATCTGCTGCTTGGGTAACAGCCTATCCTCCATATTACCTTACCCGGGCTTCATGCTCTGGAGAGGACACTCCTCAATTCAGAGCATGTTACCATAGTCTCTCGAGACTGAAGGATGCCTATGCTATGC